CAATGATTGGTTCCGTTATTTAGGGGGGGAACCTAAGGCTCAGAAAACTATGTTCCTTGCCCAAGGTCATATAGCTAAGTAAAAGAAAGAGCAAGGACCCAACCGCATGACAGGCAAGCTCTAAAACCCCAGACTTTCAAGTCCCAGGCCGCACTGCCTCTCGCACCCTGCCACAGTCACACGTGCGCTGTCCTTCTGTGGCAGGAGAGGAGTGATGATCTTCAAAAAGATTGAAGACGAGGAGTTGGACCATAAGACTCTGCTGGCATTTGTCCCCTGCTATCCAAGGCCAAGGACCCCGTGTCTGGCAGGTGGCAGTCTCTGGAGTGGTTCCATTCGACGGGACCAGGAAAGCCGGGTCAGTTTCCCTGGAGGCCATCAAATGTTAACCTGTCCTTGCCTCTGGCCCTCATCTGACATCTACAGAAGCCCTTGCTGGGTTTCTTACATGGTGCTCCGACCGTCCCGGAGCTGCGCTGTCCCCGGGCAGGCCATGCAGGGAAATAAAGACATGGCCAGTGTCACCGGTCAGACTCTGGGCACTCAGAGCAGGAGCACAGGGGCTAAACCTGCAACCCTAGAGGGCGTGAAGCTTGAATTAAACACAGAGAAATATGTATGCACATTTTCTTGTGCACATTTAGGGTTTCCATTGGTCACTTTTTTTTTTTTTTAAATGCACTGGGAATTGATTTTGGGATAAGGTATGAGGTTGAAATCTAACAACGTACTTTGCAAACGGTTCTCAACCTGTCCCTGTCCCTCGCTTGCTTGAATTGCTGTGTTTATCCCATGCTAAATTGGCATACATGTTTCTTATTTTTATTTTTTTGAGAGGAGGGGGAGGGGCAGAGAAAGAGGGAGAGAGAGAATCCCAAGCAGGCTCAGCACTGTCAGCACAGAGCCCGATGCGGGTCTCAAACCCGTGAGATTGTGACCTGAGCTGACATCAAGAGTCAGACGCTTAACCGACTGAGCCACCCAGGCGCCCCTAAATTGGTATCTTTTTTATGTATTTCTTCACTTTTTATTTCCTTCCATTGGTCTAGGGAGAGAAGTGCTATATTGCAGTGGCAGAGTTTGCAAGCTCTGAAGTCAGATTATGTGGGTTTTGCCTCGGTTTCCTCATCTGTGAAATGGAGATAATACCAGCACCTGCTGCATAAGGTGACCAGGAAGATTGAACGAGATAACGCCCGCCCGTAAAGTACTCATTACAGTGCCTGAAGGCAATCAATCAGTGACTGTCAGCTGCCACGGTGATCCCTCTCTGTCCCTTCCTGTACCAGTAACCAGGAAGGTGAAATCACTAAGCGCACAGCTTTGAGTCCGATGGCACAGCTCTGCCACTCGCTATTTTCAGGACCTTGGGCAAGTTACTTACCATTTACCATCTGTCTGTTCTAGTTTCCTCATTTAAACTTGGGGGTGTAAAAGTACCTACTGCCGCTGTGAAAATTAAATATAACAATGTCCCACAGGGCAGGCCATGTAATAGCCCTTCGATGAATTTTTATTCTGCTGCCGATGATCATTATGATATTATAATTTGTCATCTGTCTTTACGTGTCGTAGGACAAGCCCTATCTTTCCCCAAAAACTGTTGTGGGGAGTGGCAATCTTTCAGGGCCAGGTCTCCCGTGGGTGAACAAACAGAATTTCTGGATCTACATTGCTGATGCCCAGCCCCTGGACTGTGCCGGAAGTCGCTGCGACTAGTGAGGTCTTGAGTGAGTGACCAGTAGGATTTGGGGTGAAATTGGGAAGCAGGTGGGGTGTGGCTTTGAAGTGCATACAGCAAATTGGTAAAAGCGTTTTTATTTTGTCTTAATTGTTTACGTTAACAAAGGAATTTGCATAGTTTAAAAAGCCAACTAGTTTTACAAGGCACTTAATGCAAAATACCAGTCCCCTGAGCCCATTCTGCTCACCGTACCTGCTGCCCTCTAAGTCACTGCTGGAACTCTTGGCTGCTTCCTTTGGTATACCTCCTATTTGTTCGTAATGTGCTCATATTAATATTTCTTTTCTTCCATTTTAGATCTAATTAATTGACCACCTGCCATGGATGATGAGGATATGGTTCTCTTTATTCATGACCTTTCTAATACACTCCCCTCCCCCACCCTCTCAATTCAACTATATCCCGATGTTTGCTTAACTCAGTATTCAGTGTTTACATTATTAGGGCTGTGAAAATAGTCTTCACAGCTGAGTTATGTAACGTCTGTACTAAGACTCTGCGAATCTGTAAAAATCTGCTTTTGTTAATTAACATCAAGGACACGAGCCTGAGAAATTTTGCTCTCTGAAATGGCTCAGTCATGAACTTTACAGTTTGAAACCAGTGAGACTGGAACACCCGCCCTGGGCGGGGGGGGGGGGGGAGCAGTGAGCCTGGCGGAGTGCTTTGTTGAAGCAGCCTCAATTTCCAACCTCTGTGCAAAGCTTCAGATCTGGGGGTCTGGACACAAATTCTACATTTCTCTTAATTATGTAGTTATCTTTTATAAAATTCTCTACGATTCGTTATCTTTGTTAAGGTCAGGCTTCGGGCAGGGTAAAGATAGGAGTCAGAGGCTAAAAAATTTTAGCAAAGGCTTTGGCCAAACTATAAGGTCTCGGGCAGGTTCCGTGACTCAGGGAGAGAGAGAGAGAGGAGTCAGGGAAGTCGCGCCTTGAGGAGTGAGATAGGTTTTTAAGCTGCAGCGGTTCCCAGTTGCAGCTTCCGGTGAGCCTCTTTCGCGCCAGGTGGACTCAGTCCACCTCTCAGTCCAAACACTTTATTCCATCACTTACATTCAGCTTAGCCTGAACATATCAAGCTTCTTCAAGTATTACACACAATTTTGGTCAGCTATCATATCCTGTATGCCTGTTGCCCCTACTACCTTGATGAAGACGCAGTTCCCAGTGTGTGCTCTCTGGCAGCTGCGTGCTGATAACCCTAACTCTGCTCCTTCTGTTCTGTCCGGAGAGGGCTTGGCCAGGCTACTTATCCATTCTTTCCTTTGTGTGAGTCTGAATTTGATAACACGCCCGCCTCTTCCTTTACTCTACCATGAATTCTCCTAAAACTCTTTTGTGTGATGTATTCACCTTCTCTCAATACCTTAAACTCATCAGGTAATTCCTGTCACTTTTTCCGAGCCTCCCCATCCCACACCCCCTTCCCCAGGGCCCCTCTTCCTCCTAGCTAGCTTCAGCTCAAGCTGCACTACAAGCTCCCTCGTCTCTCCATTAAATTATGACCACTTCTGTTCTAACACCCATCTCCGGCATCATGGTCAGTTGCAGAATGCATCTGCGCAAGTGTCTTGACATCTGTTTCTCCAAGGGGAGTCTGTCGCGGTGATCAGATGGCAGTTCAACAAAGTGAAGGAAAGAATGGTGATGAATAAATGGGATTTCTGTGCCAGAAGTTTAAGGACGGGTACATTCCCATCTTCTTGCCAAACGTTTGACGGTGTCCTCACTTGGGACATGGCTTCGAGCAGGGGACAGAAGCTACCAGCAAGCCCCTGCGGACTCGGGCTGAGTCCACAGTCAGGCTCCAGCGAAACTCACCCCTCACCCTGCGCTCAGCCGCCATGCCAGCCATAGCCGCGAGAACTACAACTCCCAGAAGGCCGCGCGGAGGCACCGCCTAGGGGACTACAACTCCCAGAAAGCCGCGCGAACCGAGAGGCCTTCGGGACGCGGACGTCGGGGCCGCGCCGGGTTCGGGAGAAGCGGGCAGGAGGCAGGGGAGGTGCTGGGTTGAGGGCTGCCGAAAGCAGGGGGGGGGGCAGCCGGGGCAGGCCCGGCAGCCCTGCGGTAGCTGGAACGGAGGGCGGGTGGGGGAAGACGGAAACTCGGACTCGGACGACCGGGGGGGGGGGCGGGGAGCGGGGCGGGAGGGAGCGTGAGCCGTGCCTTCTCTTCCCGCAGTGCCCATGACGAAGCTAGCGCAGTGGCTTTGGGGACTGGCGCTCCTGGGCTGCACCTGGGCGGCGCTGGCCACGGGAGCCCTGGGCCTGGAGCTGCCGTCGGCATGCCGGGAGGTCCTGTGGCCACTGCCGGCCTACCTGCTGGTGTCCGCCGGCTGCTACGCCCTGGGCACCGTGGGCTATCGCGTGGCCACTTTTCACGACTGCGAGGACGCCGCCCGCGAGCTGCAGAGCCAGATCCAGGAGGCGCGAGCCGACTTAGCCCGCAGGGGGATGCGCTTCTGACACCCTAACCCCATTCCCACCCGACAGCCTTTCCTCCCGTCGCCCATTAAAGAGCTTATTTTCTAACTCGGTTTAGTTTGAGTGTGGACGGTGGGGCTGGGGACTCTGTGCACCGGCTGTGGAGGAGGGACAGTCAGGCGAGCCACCGTCCTGAGGTCGTCTCAGCTTCATCTTCGCATCCTTGCTTGTGGTCCTCCTTTTTGCTCCAAAGGAGGCACAGACCGAAAGCTCTCTCAGGAAGGACACGTCATTTCACTCTCTTGGTCCTTTCAACCTTGTTTGCCATGTCAGGAAACATGACATGAAGTCTGATTTCTGTTCTTCATAGCATCCAAGCTGTGTTCTTTGAAGGTCTTCGTAGGTCTTCCCAACTTCGGGGTTCCTTCAAATACCTCTTCTGAGCCAGCCCTACCAGTCCAAGAACAGCTGTGGATCAAGCACCACGTCTCTACCGTCACCAACCAGGCAGGTTGAGAATCACCAAATAGAGACTCAGCTTTGATGGGCAGGGGTAGCGAACGATTTATTTTAAGGCACATTCTAAAGATTGCACCCCAACCTCCACAATTAAAAAATATAATCTGTAAAAAATAAGTGATTCATCTCCCAAGTCCCAGCTAGTATTCCAAGCAAAACACTTTCTTTGGCCCCTTAATTCTCACAGTTGTCCTTTTCTTTCCCGCAACCTCCTGCACTCATGGAGCTGGTCAGCAGAAGCAGCTGAGTCAAGGAACTGTCTTTGGTGGCAAGTTGGCATTAAGGTGCCCAGTGGTCAGGCGAACTGCGTCAGGTTTGCAGGAGCGGATAGTTCCTGTCTTGCCCCTGGGAGTACTTCCAGAAAAGCCAGAGGCGAATGAAGCTGGTGAGGATCCCCGGAAGGTTGGGCACCTGAGACCGCAAGGGTTGCTGTGAGCAGAGGAGCGGATTTTCTCCCCGGCACACCTGTCACCCGTCCCTCTCTGTTCTGCTTACCATGATGTAGGGGTCGCGTAGCTGAAACCCATAGAGGGTCCAGGAGGCAGAGGTGAGGAGGGTGGCAATGGTGAGTGAGAAGGAGAGGCGTTGGGTTGATTTAGTCTGAATGACCTTGGCCTTCGGAAAAAGGATAAAAGACACTCCTGTCCCAGGCACATAGCAAAGCTCCTACTTGTCTAAGGATTTCCTCAGGAGAAAGGTCAAACATCCTCTCCAATCTCCGTTACCTAACCTTTGCCTCCTGCCTCCCACTCACCTACCTCTACTGCCCTGTCTTCCAGGGTTTGGGTCTTCCCTTCCTTTGGAGTGTAAGTTACGGTCTTATGTCCCCCACTTCCCCGGACAGCCCCCACTCACCAAGTCGGCCAGTGGTGACAGGTACATACTGATGGTGAAGGTACTGCAGAAGAGACCCAGCTGCTGAAGCCGGGCCTCCGGGCTGGGCACCAGGAGCCAAAAGTAGCCGAAACCCAGGACAAGGACCCCCAGCAGGGTCGCGGTCTGTAGGAGCATGGGACGCTGCAGGGGAGAGAGCAGCCTTATGGCTAGCTGTTCCAGGAGCCTCTCTGACTCCCCTGCTGGAATTGGTCCATCCTGCTCTCTGCGAGGCTCCCGTGGGGGAGCCGACCTTCATCCCGGCCTCCAGTATTGCACCTGTCACAGCCCTTTCCCCACCAGTGCTGAACACATGTCTGATCCACCCACATCACCAGTGGTTTCTATAGAAGGTATCTTTTGTGTGTGATCTTGGTACACACAGTGGGAACTTAATACATGCTGGTGTGAGTTGGGGAGGGAGAGCTAATCAACCCATTTCTCAGCCACTGGCCCTGGCTCTCAAGGAACTATCAGAGATAACACCCCTTCCCCTCAGTGTGTTGGGCAGCAAGTCACCATCAGGCTAGGCAGAAACACCAGTTTGCCAGAAATGGGGCGGCGGTGGAGGAGGGGGTGCTGCTCAGTGTGTGAGTCTCAGGCTGGGCCTCACGGAGGACTTCAAGCCTGGAGGAGCCTTCCAGGAAAAAGGTGGCAGTGCCAGCCTGTCATAATCTTCTAGGAAGCAGTGTTTACCCTGCCAGCAAGGCAGGGCGTGCAGCAGAGAGGTGGGTCCAGGGGAGGGCCTCTACCTTCCGAGGGCAGTAGTGCAGATACACCGAGATATACAGGGTCTGAAGCACAGCGCCCGTGGCGTTGACGAAGATTAGGGTCCCGTCACCCTTCAAGGCCCCGTAACTCAGCCAGCTCAGGTTGCTGCAGGGTGGACAGGAGGGCCATTCCCCACGGAGGTGAGGATGGGAGGGGGACCCCAGGGGCCCCTACAACGTTCTTCCTCCCCCTCCCCCTCCCTCAGACAGCCTTTCCCGCCGCAAACGT